TGGAGAAACTATAATGGAGAAGAAAATAGAACGAGGAATTCTCCAAGGCGCTAGATTTTCTCCGCAAAAAAAAAATATATATATATATATTCTAGAAGATACCGCGTCCACACCTATCAGGAGAGAGGGCGATTTTGAAGGGCAAGGCTCATATATATATATAGGAGCCTTGCCTTTCAAAATATATAAATATATGAACATTACTCATATATATATATATATTTATTTATTTATTATTATTATTATTATTATTAGTAGTATTAGTATTAGTATTAGTATTATTCACTGTCTTCGCTTAAAATCCTATGATGCAAGCTGTGCTTATATAAGCAAACATTTATTCAGATATTGTAAATGTTAATAATGTAAGACGAACTAAACAGTTTCTAAAACTTTGAATGAAGTATAAGAAAAATGATGCTCACGGACAAAAGTGACAGTAGTAATGGTAGTAATGTCCCGAAGGACACCTTATTTGTACAGTGTCTTAAACGTTTCTTCAGGTTAGAATTTTTTGCTTATTTAAATATAATTTTTGTTCAATGCTGGAGGGAATGTTTAGTGTATGTTTATTACAAAATTGACGGCATAAATATAAAAGTGTTGCAGCTATTTTGTGACAGTTGAATACTAACTCTTTAGTTTATTAATATTTATTCATTTTGAATTTAAGTATCTTAAATATTAATAGAGTGTACTACTACTTTCAGGATAATTGGTAAAAGTGTTGCAGCTAGGCCATTTTGCTACATTACAATAATTTCATTTGTGTCAATTATCTTTTCTTTTCCAATTCTGACCACAAAATTGGTCAATGATGTAACTGATTTTACACCAAAAGAGGCAAGGGCTCGCAAAGAATTGCAAGTATGATTAAGTTTTGAAATGCTTCAAGAAGAATTTTTATCATTAATAGAATCTTAAAAATATTTTTTCAAAAGATCAATACTTCCGTTTTGATCCAAAAATTTGTTCCAGAATGATTGTAATTTTCAATAATGAATTCTTAATATGACAATGAGCATTCGCAGTTAAATATTCTTTATAGGATTGACGAAGTAAGCTTTTGCAAAATATAAAATTTTTCAGTTAAACATACCGTTTCAGAATTGTTAATGAGAAAATCTTGAAATTTCATGTTTTGCTCACTTAGATCACTGTTTGGATTAATTTCTTGATGAGCTACTCAGTTGTACATTTAGTATATGCTTGAAATTTTTGATTTGCTTAAAAAAATTGTTTTTCTGTAGTTACTGTTCAGAAAATATTTATCTCCTGTCTACAAAAGAACGCTTCAAACATAGAAAAAAAGTAAAACATTTATCACAAGTGAATGAAAGCTTGTATTTAGTAAAAATTTCAATTTATTATAGGTATACAAGAAATTTTTTGCTCATAATGGAAGTCCAATTGTTATTACAGTGCTTATTGCAGCAAAAAAAAATAATTCAATGTTATGTTTGTCAGAGTTTAACGAAACTATTCGGGTGCATATTATTTTACTTTATAATTATAAAACTTTAAGCAAAAATTAAAGCTTTGAGTAAAAAAAAGAAAATTAACTAAACTTTCTTACTAATCAAAGAAGAATAGCTTCTTATCCCTTGTGTAATTGCATTTTAAATATTCTTTTCAATATTACTGAAATGGTTTTCCAATTTATTTTGGCAAATTACTAATGAGAAAAATTTTCCAGATTATTTTGCAAGAAAAATTATTTTAATGTGTAGAGCCAAAAACTTAAATTTAAACTGTGTACTTAAAAGTTAAGTTTGAAGCAGTTTGAAGCAATCGAATAATTACTTTCAAAGGATAATATTTGACGCATTAGAATTTAAAATTGAAGAAAATAAACAGACATTCATACTGCTTAATTTTGTATTGCATTTTTTATACAAGAATGCAAGAATTGAAATAAATTGTTGAAGATTTTATAAGAAAATATTTTGATCACTTCTAAAAGCAAATTACAATACATTTTTGCAAAAACATAAAACAATAATTTTAGTTGCTTGATCAAGTTAGCAATGATGTGACTATATATAGTAAGGAAAGCAATCGAACAATTAGTTTTTCACAGTTCTGCTCTAGTTTTTGCGAATTGAACGAGCCTGTTCGAAATATCTATGTGAAGTTTAAATTTTTTTCCAGCAAGTTTTCGTAATTATCAAGAATTATATTAATTTGGATATGATTATTGATTAATAATCAATTCAGTATTGAATTACAGAATGGTCTTGTGATAAACAATCAGTTTAATGAAACTTCATCTCTAATTCATCTTGCTTATCCAACAGCTAATATTTTAGGACAAAAATTTCGTACTGATAATAATTTTTTTGGTGTCAAGGTTAAATTTGTCTTTCTTTTTTTTAACTAAAAAATAGTACCAATTACATTTTAATTATTTATTTGAAAAACAAACATTTCAAAGGCATAATTTTATCTGCCACTGTTTTCAATTATCTGCTACGAAATGGAGAAATTATTTTTGGTTGAAATGAAGACTTAAATGGAACTGAATATTTTTTTGGTCCTTATGTGGATAGATGTGTATGAGAAATAGTCTGTACAAAATTACTAAAATTTAGAAAATATTTATGAAATTTTATTAATACATAAATGCATTAATTTGAAATACAAATTTGATTTTCGTTATACTTTAACAGTTTTGCATAATATTCAGGTTGATAAAAATAATGTTTTGATTGATGCTCGATTAATTGTGTTGCATTTTCGGGCTTCACTTCACGATGGAATTGATACTGCAGAAGAATATGAATTAAAAGTTTCTAAATTCTTATTAACGTAAGGGAAAATTTTATAAGCCTTCAAAAAAGTGTTTTTCAACTCAAACAAAACGAAAATAATAACAAATCTTTCATCATAAAAAAGGTTTTACCAATCTGATAGCTTTTAAATTATTGTTGAACAAATTGAAGAAATGTTTTAAATAAATTAATGACAATATACTTACGCTATGCACCATAGAATTGAATTTATGAATTTATTTCAAGAAAAACTTGACTATTTGAAGTGTCTAATAATTTTGATGATACGCAAATTTTTATCGTATTAATTTAATCTTAAAAATAAATGAAATCTTTTCAAGGAGCTTATTGTTTTAGGAATTTTACATCTAATTATATTGAAATTGCTATAATGTCACCAACATTTGTCACAGCTGAAATTGTACGGTCTGGTCTTCACTTATTACCATTTATAGCTGTCGGATTTATTATTATGTGTGTATTTGCCACCACGACAACAATGATGAGCACTTCCATATCTTCTCAGTTTGATTATTTCAAAGTATCAATTTTTAAATTTTTAAATAAGCAATCCAAATTATATTTATTATCAATTTCCATTGCATATTTTTTAGTTTGATTATATTTTAGGTAATTGTTGCTACAATGGCTTGTGTTTCACCACTCTTAGCTTGTAGTACAGCCCTTGGTTTTTTAATATGGATAGGTTTACGATTTGGTACTATTCTATGTGTTACCCCATTTCTTGTTTTAGCAATTGGAGTTGATGATGCTTTTTTGATGATTAATTCTTGGCAAAGAAACAGTAAATTATATAAGCAAGTTTCTTTTCATTGCAAATATCACTGCTAATATTTATTTATAGAAAAAAAATATCACAAAAATTAATCCAAAGAAATCATGAAATTTGCATGCAAATACCATAAATCTTATTAATGCTTTATTGAAGTAAAAAGTTAGCAACAAAATGTTACAACGAGAATGAATCAGCAATAATAACCGATAGAATATGTGGTATGTTAGAGGAAGTTGGTATGTAAATTATCATGTTATAAATTAATGAAAGCAATTATTTTAGGTCTTTTTTGTTTTTTTATATCATTTTTTTTACATTTTTTCTTTGTTTTAATTAAAGAAGATAATAAATTTATAATAAAAATAATAATAAATTTTGATTAATAATAATCATTGCATAATTTCACATTTATATGACCCAATAGGTCCATCAGTTTCAATAACAACATTAACAAACGTCTTAGCATTTGGAGTAGGAGCATTTTCATCAACACCGGAAATTCAAATTTTTTCTGTTGGCAATGCTTCAGCAATGATTTTTGATTTTATTTACCAGGTTTTCTTTATCCAAGAAGCAATTATTTATATCATTTTGCTATTAGTAAAAACAACTACGAAATTGAAAATATTTTGGCTAATTTATTCAAAACAATCTGCAGTTAATTTTTGAAATATTTGTATTTAGTTGTCAAAATCTCAGTACAATAATGCAAAAATCTTTTAAATTAGTGACTGAAAAAGAAAAATAATTAAGAAGATCAATTCTTGTATATAACTGATTAAAACTCTAAAATATTATATCAATTTACAACGCTTAGATTACATTATTCGTTGCAATTTTGGTAATAGTGGGTCGTCGTGAACTTAAAATTAAAAAATGTCCAAGCACTGTTGAAAGTATTGCATCTCGTAGCAAACGGCAAAATGAAATAGGAATTGTGCTCAAAAAGTGAGTTCAGATCATTTTAGCAATAGAAGCAAGTCTGATTTGCTTGAAAAATAAGTCAACTTACATGAAATATAAATCAAATGTTATTCCAGATACTAAGTTTATTATCCACATGAAGAATTCTTTTATTATAAAAAGTGTTAGCTATAAAAAATTTTAATTATAGTATATATAATTTTGTGTGAAAACAAGTATTTTTTTCAAATTTTCATTGCAATGCTTGATATGATAATTTTAGTCAATCTTATTCATAATTATCTCAGAACTGTGATTTGACAAATCAGTACTTTTAAAATAAATAATTCTGTTTTCGAGAAAATAACTTTTGTCTTACAATTTTTGAAAATTTTAATATTACTTTTTTATTTCATGAATATCAGAAATGTGAATTAATTTTTGGTTCATTAATTTCATGCAAAAAAATGGGCAATGAATTACATATGAGTACTTAATTTAGACCAGCTCACTGCATTAATATATTGAAAATGTACTTACATGCAAATTTACTTAAGTATATTGAAACTGAATACATTTACTTTATTTACTTACTTATTTACTTAGCTTACTACATTATTCAATTTTCTTTTTCAGCTTTCTAAAGTCGTACTGTTCTTTCATATGCAATCCATCTGTTGCAATTGTAATAATCACTGGTTTATTCTTTTATTGGTCGGTATCAATTTATGGAGCACTTACTATAAATGTCGAATTGAGACCCGAAAAATTACTTGCATCAGATTCAAACATATTAAAAGTATAAATCATATTGCAACGTACTTTGTTTGAGCTGCTTTGTAATGAGTTTCAAAAAATTAATTTAATAATAAATATTATTGCACATACAACTTCAACTTCAACATCAACTTTGTAATTTTTTAATGAAAACTACCATTTTTTTTGTGTTATAGCATTAATAATTAGAATAAAATAACTTAAAAAAGTCATTATTAAGGTTCTAAAACTCCGGAATGAATACATCCTGCCACATTACACAACTACGCTAATCTTTGTAGAAAATCCAGGAAATTTAAATAATTCCAATAATATTCTTATGTTACACAAAATGGTGAGCTCAGAATTACATTTTTATTTCACTTTGCTTCTTTTTTTTTACTTCTGTTTTATTATTGACTGTACAATATGTATGTAATTTGCATTACTCCGAACAATTCATTTAATAACTTTGTTCTAAAAAGTATGAAACAGTAATTTGAAATTGTGTGTTCCAGTCATATTCATTAATAATATAATGGTGTTATTATTATTATTCTTATTTTTACTATTATTATTAATCATTGTCGTTATTAGCTGCTTTTTTAGGTAAATGACTTTGAAACATTACCAAGTTCAGTAGGACGAATGTCAACAAAGTTTTGGTTGAGAGATTATGAGACTTTTATTGAAACTACAGAACGAGACTATTTTGATGGCTTTCCTGATAAATGGTGATATATTTTTTATTACTAAAGTTATATAAATGTTATTTTAAAAAATGATTAATATATTAATAGTAAATGGTGATATTTATTTGATGTTTTAACCAAGAATTATAAACTGACTGGTTTTTTGGGTAGGAATATGTCAACAGCAATTAATACCAAATACAATGATTTGAAGACTTTCCTCAGTTGGCCAGAATTTCAGTACTGGAATGGATTTCTGCAATTCGATAACGATAAACAGTTAGATCATTTCTTATGCTATATTTCAGATAACTTTTATTTCTAATTTCACTAAAAGCTTTTTGCAATAATTTTATTTAAAAACTAAGTAAAGTTTTGAAAAGTAGTGGCTACTCTTTGTTAAGTTTTTCTGAAAAACGGAAAAGTAACAAGCAAATTTCTTCGTTTGCTTTAGATTGTTATTCGTATAATTAAAAAACATGGATTCTTACACAAACTTCATAAATTAGACTAATTTACTTATTTTATTGTTGCTTACATAAAGTTAAAACTTTTCTGAAAATGTTTCTTAAAAAGTTAGTTATGATATGTTTTTCGTTAATCTTAACGGTTACAATGAACATTAGTCAGTTTCATTACATCAGTAACCTAACAGAATTTTGATTTGTTTAAATGAAAAGACTTAAATTTTCAGTGGCAATAAATATTTAAAAAGTTATTTCTTTATGATAACATCACGCGGAGATTTCCAAATATGGTCAAATCGAGCGAAATTGCTTAACGAATTGCGTACAGTTGCAGATCGAGTACTTTTTATTTTTTTTTGTAGATAAATTTCAGTTTTATTCAAATATTACTTGAAACTTGTAATACCAAACTTTCATCCTACAGCCTTGACACATCAATAATAGTTACATTTCTATCTCTACATCATTTATTGCACCCCTGCATATTTATTATTTGATGAATACTTTGTTAATTTTGCTATTCTGTTTGTTTTATTTTTAGTTCAAGGAACTGCTTAAAACTCTTTGCAAAAAGTGATATAAATGAGCAAAACAGATTGAGAACTAAAGTAAAATCATTCTTTTTTTGATGAATTTTAGAGCTTACAATAATTTTGATTTCAGTACTCAGTCTATGAAGTGACTGTTTATGATGATGATGCCAAATTTTTGGACTTAATTGAAACTTTGCTGAATCAGACAATGTTGTCTTCAGCAATTACATTACTTTCTATGGTGCTTGTCTGCTTTATTTTCATACCTCAATTTCTAGCTACATCTATTGCTGCTTTGTCAATTTTGAGTATTTTTATTGGTAAGTACTGTTTAAATTTAAATGCAAAAGATTACTTGGATATACCAAAGAAGTAGTAACAAGAAACTTCTATTAATAATAAAACAAAAAAAGTTTTATAAGTTCGAAAAAAGTTTTATAAGTTTTATAAGTTCGAAATATTTTTATAAGTTCGAAATGAAAAAACTTAGGAAGCGTAATTATAAGGTGTGTTTGGTATACTTTCGTTATGGGGAGTTGATTTGGATCCGATAGTAATGTCAGCTATGATAATGTCCATCGGCTTTAGTGTTGACATTCCCGCTCATGTCAGCTATCACTTCTTCAGAGCTGGTTTGTGATTTCTATTTGTTGCTCAGTCTTGAAATTATTGCTCTAAGCCAAAATTTTCATTATTATCAATATACAGTCAAGTCATGCAGTCAATTTAAACTAGCAATTTCACCTGAATTTGTTACATTCCAACAAATAGAACTACGGGTTGACAAACAACATCCAAAACATATATTTTAAATCAATCAGATGTATTACATAATTTATTTCATCTCCAATCAAAACGTATAGTTCAACTTAGAAATAAAAATAGCCTTAAGTGATTAAAATTGAAGCAATACATAAGCAAGACTTTTGCGCACAGTTTCACTATTGCTGTCTAATGACTTCATTCCCAAACTATGTTTAATTACGTGACAAAATGCTGCAGCAGAAAATGATTTCACGTGCATAATCCATTTTTCCTGAGTCATAATTTTATACGAAAATGTGTCACTTTGGGTAGAGATTTACTTTCCAATATTTTTAATCTTTATTTCAGAATTCAATGCATCACGTATTTTCTTCCCGTGCATAAAGTCTTAATATTTTAGAAGGAGCTACAGTCGAAGTTCGTCTTCTGCATTGTTTAGCAGCAATAGCGTATCCTGTGCTTCAAGCTGCAATGTCCACTTTATTTTGTGTGCTGAGTCTTCTATTTAGTGAACTTTATATGGCTCGAGTTTGTTTCAAACTATTTCAAATTTTTAGACTTAAAAATATTATAAAATCATTTACGGCAGGTACGAAGTTTACTTCTTTCAGTCTAGGTGAGAAAAATAATGGAATTAATAAGAGTTATGATTATAATAATTATTACTATTAGTATACTACTATTAATAGTAGTATTAACATTAACAGTAGTAGTAGTAAAAATGATACTATTAATAATGGTAATATCAATTACAACTTTTTAATACAGCTTAATTTACAAAATTGAACTTCGAATTCATACTGATGAAAGCATCTTACATATATTTCAGGTTTTTGTGAAAACAATGACACTTGTTGTTGTCATTGGTTTAATCCATGGTTTAATAATAGTACCTGCATTATATGCTCTTATATCCAAGTGTAAATTGCCGAGGAAAAAAAAAGTATTCCAAGTTACTAACGGTACAACGCCTCCCAAAGATATTCTGTTATCAAATATTCTGAATACTACTGAAACAGTTGATAGAAAGCAATTGACAAAAAATTCGCAATTTTCACTCAGTTATAACTGCCGTTTCTGATAAATATTCAATCTTTGAAAGATCTTCTCAGTGTGTTCTAGTGCCAAAAACGATTATAAATAATTATGTAATTATAGCATTTTGATGATTCTAGATATTTTCGGGATTAATTATTATTATAATGAAGTAACACGTATGAAGAATTTGTCTTGGATAAAAAAAGTCAAATTTCTACCAATAAATAAAGATTTTTCAAATTGTTTACGCGTAGTGACATTGATTATAAAGCTTTGGAATTAATTATATATGAGAAAAAAGGAAGTAATGTAGAATTGCTGTACAAAAGGATCACTGACTTCATAGAACCATTGCAGAGCTTGTATAATTATTACCAGTTTTTTCATTTTGACTAAAAATTGAAGGAGTGCACATATAGTTTTCTTACTAGCGATCTTTATGAGCTTGCGCTATGGCTATTTGTAAGCACTGTATCCATTCTTCAGCTTTGCTTTGATCATTAGCCTGCAAATTTCATATTACAACTGATAGCAAAATTTCATATTACAATATGTCTATGATAATTTGGACTATATATTATGATTAGATTTTGTATAGTACGTAATTTTAAAATGTTTTACCGCACTGCATAAATAGGCAAAATTAATTCATTAAAACTTTTATTTGGGAGTAAAAATACGATTGATTGTGCAAAAAATACCTTTAAAACATAAGAAATATCATCATCAGTGAATATTTCAAACGCTTTTGGAAGTGACTTGCGGCTCTTTCTTCCTTTGCCAAGCGATTTCACCGAACGTATCTTTTTCAAATCAAGTGCTGGTGATATCATTTTATCCACTGTTGGCTAAAATTTGCATATTTAAATTGGAATTTTCATTTTCCTCACGATTTATGAAATGAAACTATGCAAATAAAGTATATTAACACACATCTGATGCTTCGTCTCTACACATTAATGCAGCACCGGATAACGTAAAGTATTTTGTGTGCCAACGTTTCAAGAATTTCCATCTTCCCCGTTTTTCTTTTAATTGACCCTCCAGAACCGGTAAATGTGGAGAATCTGGTCGTATAATTGTCCTATGATGATTAATCATTTAGCGTTGCAGACCACTTTATACTACTACATAAGTAAAATTAAGCTTCATAAAGTAAATTCTTCTATCAATATTTCAATAAATTTTTGTTTTAACTAAAAAATATAGAAAAGAGGACTTATGTAAGGCACAAATATCATATAAGATTTGACAGAGATTACAAAGCTGGCAATAAACAACATCACAAACTATGTAAAGTGAAAAGAAATAACCTGACTCGTTCAGGATGATTACAACTGAAACAAGACCATTTTTCAAAAGTGGTATTGTATGAAAAAGAATCGAAATAATGAGAATCGAGAAGTTCTTTCATGATATGCTGTTGCTCCTGAAAATTAAGGTAAATTATGCAAATTCACAGTTTAGTAAATACACCAAATACTTTCTAAAAAATGCTAACAAGATTTTGTGATTAATATCATATAATTTACAAAGTACTAGGTGTAACCTTTTGAGCAGGAAAAGCAGAAGTAACGAGCTCAGAAAATGGACGATTTCGTGTTTGAGCAGAAGGCAAGGAAGACCAACAGTTAGAAAGGATCTGATATGCATCAGAACTCTGAGCAATCACTTCACCACTAGTCTCTATACTTTTTGTTTCCATCTGATCACAAATTGAATTACTCAAAAAATGTAAAAATTTTGCTACACAACGTTTTCGTGATAAAAAATTTAGGAATCTTTACAGCATAATGAAAAAAACTCATATAAAAGAGGCAAAATTACATAAGAAAGCAATCAAAATCACGAGATCATTTTCAAAAAGTTTATATTAGTGATGCAAAATTTTGATTAAATGACTTTTTTATGGAATTAACGGAAAATAAACATAAAGATGAGATAATTTATCGGGGAAAAAATGTAGAAGACTAATCTTTTTACCTGCAAAAACATGAGATGAAGCCAAATAGGGGCAAAATGTGTTTTAAAACTGAATAAATTATTGGAATCGTATATACAATGATCATCAGTTACTTGGCACTGGAAATAGACCCGAATTCGATGTTTTGTTCCTAGACAAAAGATAAATTCAATGAAGTAAGCAATGAATTAATGCTAAAGTGAACAATGAATTAATGCTAAAGTGGAAGAAATAGAAAATAACTTTTGTATATGTTTTTATTACCTTCAATCATACATAGCACCGGTATCGGATACGTTTTACTAATATTATGAATATAATTTTGTATTTTGCCTCGACGATGATCAACAAATTGTCGAACCACATCACCTCGATCCATCACATCCTCAAAGTACTTACTCAATGTTCACTTATTTTCATTTGTTATTTCAAGTTTAACTTCTGCTCATGAAGGCAAACAGAATGCATTCATCACAATACTAATCTTTTCACTGCTTTTATAAGAAATCAAAATGAGCACTTCTTAAAAACAGCTTGTTTTTTCTTATTAATTAATATAATTTATGCGAAGTTTTAGTTATTTTACTCAAATAAAAAAAAATGAGGATCTAACCATATTTTGTATTTTCTCTTTCCTTCCACATGCATTAATGACGTCCATCGATACAGCATCACCTGCAGTGGCAACATTTGTTACTACTGCAGCATGATTGGTTGATAAATATTCGTTCGATGTAGGAGGCTGTAAAAACGGATGCATCATCGGAACAGAACTACCAGTAGCTAATTTTGAAACAATTGGACCACTGTTTACTGGAAATGTTGTTTCCGTGACAGCCTTAGCAGTTGCCTTGGGAACAGCGTTACTATTTGATGCTGATACCACGGTACCACTTGGTAATGTTACTGATGATGGTGACCACTGCGCCGCATTGCCACGTCGTTGATGCACTGGAATTGGTCGTACACGTCCATCTTTGCCTATCTAAAAAAAGTTTATTGCCTACTAGTTGATAGGAAGTTTGATATTCGTTATTCTTAGTTTGATTATTTCCGTTACCTGTATAAAATAAAAAAGTGACTAATGTAGGCAGTTCCTATTGCACTATGCAATCATATTATTAAAATTATACTTCTGATTACAAAATGGATTACCAAAAAAAGAAAAGCTCAATTGACCCTCAAATAAACACTCATTATTTTAATAAGATTATTTCACCTATGACTTATTGAAATCAATCTATTAGTTAAAAATAACCCGCTCCATTGAGAAGAAGCGCAACCTGTACAGCAGTCGGTAACAGAGGCAAAGGTGATGTTTGTGGCATTGTTTGACTTTTTGGAGGTTGATACGATGGTGGTGGACATATTGGTACAAAAGAAACACCATCACAACCTCGATTACTTTGTGATGAAGATATTATGGATAAAGGGGAATCGCGAGATGGCATATCTGCAGCTACAACGTTTTCCCTGCAGTGTTAAAAATAATCACAGGAATAAATCACTATTTGTTTCCTTACACAGTGACTCAAATTATTAATACATTTCAAGAATGTTTTATTTATGCTCTTTAACAAAAATTAATTTAAAAACATTAAACACGATTCCAAAAACAATAATATACAGGTGGGATATAATTGAAAAGGTCAAAGATGATTTCCTAATATGTTTATTTTTCGAGATAATGAGCCCAGCTATTGTATAGAGTATAAGTTCAATGATCGTATTTTTGGTTTGCACTGATCTATTTAGATCCAATCTAATAAACCTACAAAATAACCAATTTCGAGAAATGTAAACAAGAAAACATACATGTATGGATTTAGACTACCAAATGACCGACTAGTATGATTAGTTAGTGAACAACTGGATCGTAATTTGCTACACATGTAAGCATTTGCAAGATTTTCTGTATTCTTGTCCAGTTCTTGTGCAGATAGCTCAGCTGAATCACTGATATTTACTGTTGTACAAACACCACTGAAAAATCAAATAAACTTTTAATATTCTTTTGTTCATACATTCTAAAAACTTTTGAAAAGTTTGGATAATGAAATCAAAAATGCAATCAAATATTCTGTCAAAACTTCTCAATTCAGTTACAAACTGTAATGTTATGACAAACGTATGCACTAATAAATTCTGTTGCATATTTTTTATTTTATATGCAACAGTACTTTAATTTGGCACATGTTAATTTATTAAACAGTTTAAGTCACACAAAGAATAAAAATTTTTAAATGTGTTTTATACAATATCATCAGATCTTTTAGTAACTGAACATTTGCATTGAACTCATTTATTTAATTAATTAACTCTGTGTTTGAGAGAAGAAATTTTCACAAGCTTGCGACAGAAACTGAAAAAGATTCAGTGTTGAAATAATGGAGATAAATGTCATAATTAGGCAAGATGTCAGTAGCAAATTGAAAGTGTCGCTAAGGAGAAATGCAAATGTCATTTCAATAAATGGACAATAGAAGGAATGTGAATTACCTTGAGATGATTGGGGCATCATTTTTGAAGGATAATTTCGAAAAGATTGAATCATCTGATTGTTGCCCACCTTTGCTCTCTGTGACATTCAGTAATGATGCGTTATCAGCACAAGCTGATGGCGTTCCTGTTGGATACATGTAGCAATTTCTGAATCGGTTTTCATCACTACAATATCAGTTTCGTTTAAAAAAAACTTACAGGGATTATTAAAAAGTAACTCCAACTACTGCCTTTTTTGAAGTAAATCCAAATAGAAAGCATTTTAAAAATAAATAAACTACTATTATCTACTTTTTTTTCATCTTTATGGTCATTATTATTATCGCTTTACATCGTATAAATATTAGATGCTGCATTTAACGATAACAATAATTTTTATGCAACTTTTTTATTGAAGGATTATTGTAAACAAGTTAAACAGTATCTATTTTCCATCTAAATTTTTCTTCCAAAATAATATCTAAACTCCTTACCTACTGTTTTTAAAGCAAATCGCTAACTCTTTTTCGCAACGTTAAGAATACAAAAGTAGTAATTTAATAATAAAGACTAAATAAATACCGTTATACAAAACGAGTGGTAGAATAAGTAAGAAATATATTTTTTAGAAATAGGAAAACGAAAGTATTTTAAATGTTGTTTTAAAAAAAGTGCTTAAAAAAATAATTAACCTGCTAAATGCTAATATTCTTGCACAAACTGCTGATATAGAAGGACGTGTTTCTGGGAGAGATCGTATGAAAGCTAAATATGGATGTATTGCTGTTGGGAAGCATTCAGCTACACCTGTAAGACAGATACGTAATTTACCTTATTGAAAGTACTGAAATCAAACTTATGCACTTTTATGGTAAAGAGTTATAATGTATGCCCAACACTTAAACAAAAAATACCGTAAGAACAACAAACTTCCCAACATAGTTGTTACGATATTTTTTGTTTGAGATATATTTTTTTTATGACAACACAAAATTATAAATAATACCAATGTTATGGAATAGCTAATTTCCACAATAATCTAACTTTAATCATTGATGTGTATATCTTCTGGTCACACACTTTTTTGATTAATTTTGGTTTCTGTATCATTTTATATATCAGCAGTTAATTAATGCTGTTAATACATTACAATCCAAAAAAAAATTATGCAATTCTCCCAATTACTCTAACACTAAATGGAACTTATATATATAATGGATGGGTAAATACGAAACGTGTAGAATGCTTAATCGAGATAACCTATGCCTTATTCATTAATTATAAAAATTGTATCGAAAAATTTCATATGCTTATTTAGCTAATCATCACCAAATAATTAATACCTTCAATTGCCTTCAATATTACAGGAAGTGAGTCAGAAAGCTGACGACTCATCGTAATTAGATCATCCACGGCAACAATCGCCGTATTGCTATCGTTTCGGCCAATAACACCAATTATTTTTGCCATAGTTGCCAAAGTATTGTCTGAATCTGCTCTTCTATAAATACTCAATAACTACATTTGTGATAATTTTTTTTACTTTTACATCGAGTTTCGATGTACTTTATAAGAAAACACAATTAACTTTTTTAAAGTAGAAAAATTATCGGTATAAAATACAAACCATTCATATATCCCTCAAATCTTTTATCAATTTATCCTAAAGATAAATTTATAAGATTTTTGGAAATAACTAAAACAGACAAATCAAAGAAAGAAATGAAGTAGACTAACTAACTTAACAGCTTCACGTAATGCACCTAAGCGTGGAACAAGAGCAAATGTTCGATTTAACGAGATAAGTGAAAGAAAAATATGAAGAACAGCAGTACGAGTAGGCGAATGAAATAGAAAAACATCGAGATCGTCCAAATATTTGAGAATTAGCTGTAATTATTCATACATTACTTCACAGTCATACATAATAAATTATATCTGAAAATAATAAATGAATCATAACTGACACAACATGAGCACTCAAACATTTATTTACACTGGATTTTTCGCGATAAAAGTTTTTCAGCGCTCGCTTTTACTGAACTACAACCATTTATTTCTTACTCTTTAGATCATCACAAATGTGCAATTAAAAGAAATCAGTGAGAGCATTTAAAACTTTATGTACTTTCCAAAGGATAAACGTTCAAACTGCTTGCTTACATTATGTGATGTAAAAGTACTTAGATCAGCTTTATTATGGTATTCATTCTCGGAAAACTCTTAACACTTTAAATCATTTGCTGAGCTTTTTGCACCCTTGTTATAAATGATGTAAGAAGTAGTAAGGTCGTGATGCAGCAAGCTAATAATAGCTTATCAAAAAAAATTTTAATTTAAAATAAAGTAGCAATGATCATATTATCTACGCTATCGAGTTAATGCTTCATTCTTAAAATCAACATTCATTTATATACAAGATTATGTTGTGATCAGATTTTGCAAAACATCGATTATATTTAGAAAGTAACATCATTTTATTCATGTCATGATTTATTGCTATCTATATCGATATTTTTTGAGAAGGAAAAGCTTTACACATTTTCATCTAAAATTCAAATATTTTTAAACACATTAAACTGCTATCAAAACAACTGCATTTACACTTAGCAAAAAATTGAGCACAACAAATGCACGGACTCACATCAGGATTAGCATTGGCAACCATAGATGCAAGCTGGAGAATTGAAAGGCGTTCTGATTGGTCCGTTAGTTCACTTTGAAGTAAGCCAAGAATTTGTGCAAAGTGAGCATGGAACGGTTCACGATTTTCTGGATAAAGTTGTGGTACCACTCTAACCAGTGAAACATTACCTTAATCAGTTTGAAATAACTACAATCGATTTTTTTGTTTTAAACTGTAATTATAATAACTAGTTAGGAAGCAGTGATAAATAAAGACGCTAATAATAGAAATATTCAAATTTAATCAAACAAAAACAACTGATAGCAGTGGAAAATAAATCACTGCTGACAGTAATAAAACTGGTTCATTTTTAATTATTAATGTTAACTGAAGACAAAAAATGCCTGAAAAAATGATAAAAAAGTGCAAACGTGCATTGAGTAACACTATATCTTCAAAATTTTACTTCACATTAATACAGCAAAATTCATTAAATAATTGTTGGAATTACTGCTGTTTGCTGTATGCAAAAATAATTTTGGAGACAGACCACATTTTCGTTAAAAAAATTGTTCTTTTTCTAAAAAAAATCACTGAAAGAGGCTTTTAAATACTGTTATTTTCTTCATTTTTATTTATTTTTACTTTTGATTATCATATTGACCTTTAATACTTATATGACATATGGTGTATCATAGATAAGTGCTGCCAATGTCAGTAATAATCAGCACATGATTATCACCAATGATAACTAAAAGTGATTGACAACTGTGTTCACTTTTAGTCATTTGTCGTTGCTACAGTCAAGCTTCATCTCATTTATAATTTTTGTTTCACATTTAGAAATTAAATTCATTTATCATTCACAATGCTTCTATTTATGTAAACAGTAACTGTGATAAAAATTTGTACCGTTAAGTATATTAGTAATGATCTGTAACGAATATTGTGCTAATAGACGAGCATTATGAATAGCAGCTAATGATAGATATCCACTTGTATTTCGAGTTAATTCGTCACTACCACAATTAAGTGCTCGAATTGCTGTTGGCACAGTTACTGTCATTACAGATTTTTTACTGTAATGCTGAAAAGTAGTTATTTTAAAAGTTCGAAAAATTCTACTCCAAAAGAATCGAAAGCAGCTTAAAAGATGTTTTTTTCTAACTTAAAAAACTTTAAAAGTTAGAAAAAAATTAAATGAAAAAGTAGCAAAGATTTTTCAAGAAAGTTTGAAGAATAATGTAAAATTAAACTAAAAATTAGTAGTACTGTATCAATTCAAAATTATTTTGCATCTCCAATCATGGAAAAAAGAAAAGCTATTAAAAGTATGTGATGAATTGATATCGCTCTCACAGACCTTTTTGATTTATTTAAAACATTCCAATAATTGCTTTCTAAAAGTTATCAAATATTTTTGAATGAAAAGTAATCAGTCAAAACTCAAAAAGCGATTAGCATTTTAAATGCAAAAAATAAAGTTACCAGAAAAAGGCTGTTCAGAAGTTCACAGGCGATCTTGCAATGAGGCGTATCCACAACAGTTCCTTCTGAATCTATTGTTGACATTTCATGACTCAAACAGTTCCCAAGTGTGTCTACTAGTGCTGGAGCATATGTTTCAATACTATTGGTTTCCCTGGAAATTGTAATTCTGCTTCACAATAATTTTTAAAAGTTATAATTTTTGAAGCATAATTTTAAATAATTAACTTTCAAAAACTCGTCACAAGTAAGACATTAGTATTACTGGATAAATTAATAATTATTACCGAATTGCAGCGGTAATACGAGCCAAGGAAATTTCTACCACACTTTGATCGTTCGCATTACGACAATAATCAGATGCATTAAAAATTGACTTGATCTTTGCCAGCGTTCGATGCTAATGAAAACTTTCATTTCACTGTTTTATAATAATATGTGCAAAGTTCAAAATTATTACAGCCTATCATAAATTAGTGAAAATTATTGCTTTATATAGCAAAATAAAAATATGAAATTTTCAGCAAAACATTATAAGTAGCAATTTTTTAACCTTTTTTATTGAATTTTGAGTCGTTCGTCTATAGATAGTTTAGATAGTTTAATTTAAATTTTCAGTTCTATGCGAACAAAACTCATTTTTTTATTTTTACAACTTTTTAGTTGAGAACTGATTAGATTTAATAAAAAATTGAAACTTGAAAGTTAAACTTACCAAATCGGTAATGACATCATAATCTGATATCGTAAACAATTGTCCAGCATGTGAAAGTTGTCGATGCTCAAGAATTCGTACCAGCAAAGTATGCATGATAATAATTAGACATAAATAAGTGATGCGAAGGATTGTATAGAAAGGAGAGAGTAGAAACAAATTTCAAATTTACAGTTAATTGAGAATAATAAGCTAGTAAGGTTTTGTAATGATTCGTACCTTTCCTGCATTCCTTCTGATTCAAATCATTACAATATCAAATAAAGATGTTACTTCCTGCTCAGTAAATACCCGCAATAAATTGAGAAACCTAAAAGTATTCAAACATTTTTCAGATTTACATTAAAAAATAATTGGCGTCACAAGTTTTAACTGTAATAAAGTCATTTTTCAGGTTTTTACAAAGTTCGCTTAAATTGACGGTAAAACAAAGCATTTTAGCATTAAAATATTAGCATACATAATAATACATCATGAAATAAAGTCATCACATTAGCCGAAAATTGATTTGAATTCACTTCAAGTGCTATTTTTATTCAGCCTATAAATCATGACTGAAAGATCAATCACTTTTTGTGATAAAGACAAATGATATTTATTCACACAACGCTTCTGAGAGTAAAAATTTAAAAAATACAACGACAAAAAAAACGTTCCTCACTTAAAATTGAAAATTAGTGAAAATATAGTCCACTTGTTTACAAATATAAATATTTTACAAACTGTATCAGTGTTAAAAACAAAACAATGTTCTACTCTGAGCAAAAAAAGACAATGAATAAATTTTAAGATCATAATGCTAGCATGCACAATATCTTATGCTTGCAATTAAAGTCGCTGTTTCTACAAAGCTAAAATTTTATCAGGCATTTCAAACGTCTATTCCCGGTCACTTTTAAAATTTATAATTCTAAATTAAAGAGTGCAAACTTTGAATACAAAAGTAAGAAAGGATGATTTTTGTATGTAAAAGTGAAAGCTAAGGAAAATCCGACTTGAGTGAGGGAATAAAGGAAGTGATATTCAGACAACACTTTAGCAATGTGAAAAATAACTCTATAAAATGCTGTCTTGAAGTTTAATATCTTTCACCTCGGGTCTTTAAACAGAAATTCAATCTTTTCCTTCTGGAAGGCAGACAAAAGACCTTTGCAACAGAGAGAAGAAAATGACAAAACTCTGGAAATTCAATCCAACTGCGACGACACTCACCAATTTCCTTGTCCTTTCGCATCAACTCAGTCACAGCTCTTATTTCTCCTCTACTTCACTCTTTTTTTTAAATCGTTTTTTAGGATACTTGCAAAAATAAAGTAAGCGAACGGTGATATTCTTCTATTTCTCTTATATCTCAAGAAATGTGCAACTTTTACTTCTCAGATTTCTCTTATTCAAACTGACTGCAAACAGCAACCACTATCTACACTTTGAATTAGTATGAGAATTTAGGCGCTCTTTTTTTCGTTTCATGAATGAGTACATCTAGAATAAATAACCAAAAAGATTATTAACCTGTTACGAATAAGTAAAAAAGACTTGCATAAGAATCAAATTTTTCATGACTATTAGGTGAGAATGACACAAATTTGATTGGCTCAATTGAATAGAAAAGTGAATCCTTAAAGAAAGGAATGATTTTTTAAAGGGTCAAAAATTGGTAAGGAATGCCCGTTTGATGAAATGATTGCATGACTTGGAAAGCGATGAACAGGTCATAAAAGTGAGTGACTTACTAAAAAAGAAGTTAGCTTTAAGTAATCTGCAAAATATATTACTACCCAAATCTGTTTCCTTTCATATCTCGAACCCATGTCTCATCTCATGACTCTATACGAACCAATACCATTGCATACGGAGTTAGTCATACAGAAACACTGCAGCAACGTTGCTCCAATCACTGAAAAACAGGTTATGGGCGTACTCTAGGTCAAGCCTTTTACAATGAACCCACCCAGAACGTGTAAAACAATTTTTTCTTATAAATCTTCCCTGAAAAAGCTAGATTAGCAACCCTGAATTACTTACTATTTGTTTAATTGACACTGAATGATAAAAATATGTCGCTGCAATTGTGATTATTTTCAAGAAAGAGATGGAAAAGCAAAATCATCTTTAGATGATGAGACTTGCCTGTAGGCTGTCTCTTCTTTATTTTACATTAATAAATCTTTCTTGAAACTAATTGCTAACTATGCATTCAGGAAAAGCATTTAGCTCAATCCTTCACAAGTTTGGTATGATAAAAGGCAGGAACAAAGTGAGCAACTTCGTTAACAGCGCAATTGGTCAGTATGGCTGAAAAGAAATAAGTCTGCAGCTTATTTATGCTAAGCTAGTATTATTTTAAATTTGTATTGGGTCAATGCAAGTTAAAAATCCATGAGCATTACAAAATTTATAATTGGACACACCTCAAAACTCTATAATTGAAATGGAAGAAACCGTTGTCCTATTTCAGAAATAAGTGAAATAAATAAATAAAATGTGAGAATTGGAGAACTGTATCTGACAGAGGTCAGTGATCTGTCTATCTCTTTGCAGTTATGTCATGCGCAGATGTAAATGTCACTTGTGTGCTGGACGGGGGAATAAGAACAGACAAAAATTTATTTATATCCTCAAATGTGCAGCTGGCGAGATGCAAAGTAGTTTAGAAATATAAGTTAATAAATAAGTCGAGCAAAAGAGCTTAACTATACGTCAAATATTTGAAATACTCAGAAAACTGAAGCAAAGGTGATGAGTGGCACAAGTTGCAAATTGCTATTAACGTTACCGGACAATATATTTACTTTGTCATTTTTGCAGTAACATCAAAATAAACAACAACATCATTGAGCAAATTTTTATTCAAAGACGCAGTTAAAATAAACTGAAACTGAAGGGATCGACTGATAGCTGCTAAATGAATACATAGACAGATAGATGGATAGATTAAATAGATAGATAGATAGATAGAAAGTCGATAGGCGGATATATGTGTCATTTTGTGATGAACTTACGTTTGTTACGGTTAGTCAGTTTCACACTTTCATTGAGATGAGTGAATGCAAAATTTTCCTTCCGTCGTCTCCTCTCGACATCGCTCACTTTCCCCTCAAAATCAGTCCATGAAATAGCAAATCAATCAATACTTCTACTGATAAGCAAATTAAGGTGATATAATTAGCAAAGAAAAAGTCACCAAGTGTAGGAACACCCAATGAGCAATTCATCACTTCTTTCCACGTTCTTCAAAAAATGGTACCTATCTATTTGATGAATCATTCACAATATTTACAATACACACATAAATACACACACATTCATAAGCACATGCATACACACACACATACACATTAAGAATATGCACACCCATATTTATATATGTGTATGTATTGTATGTTTGTATGTTTGTATGTATCTATCTATACAAAGTATCTTTCTTTGCATGTGCGTGTGTGTCAATGTGTGTGTACGTATTCTCGATGAAATGCTGTAGAGAGGAGACAATGAATTAGCATTGCAGGCGTACTCACCTAAGAGACCAGAAAAACTTGCTTTGAAAGAAGACACAAAGAATGATACGCACACGTACGTACACAATGACTGTCATACATACGGATATACAGCTTTACATACACATACGCACACGACATATAAACTTAGAGTGACCCTCAATGAGCGAGCACTGAAAACTATGACCTGAGGGGAAAGCTGAAGAAGAAATAACGATGGTTGAAAATAGTAATCATAAAAGTTTACCAAATACTAGCGGTAATCATGTAACTTATAATTTACTTCTCTAAGTTATGAATTCTGATGCAGAATAGACGGGACTAAGTGACCTTCATTACTTCTCTGCTTGCACTAAAAATAGTTTGCAATCTTTGGAGATAAGTTCAAATCTGTTTGTTTGCGGAGAGTTTGCTATGAGAAATAAATATCAGACAAATTCACTTCCATCATATCATTGTCATAATGTTCTGCGAGCACGTGTTTCTACGAATCATCGATCAGCGAACGTTTACTTATGAATACAATGATTTAAAACACTTTTACCCTATAGAATGGATGGATCATATACATCGATTGTGTGACATTTTTATTGTTTAATGTTAGCTTCTGCTTTTCTACTCATATTAGTGATTTAAATGCTGCTTCAATTCATGACTTCTACTTCTGCTAATAATACCAATTTTCAAACTTTCAAACGTAACATTAGTGGCTTTCAATAATAATTACTGCAACATGAACCATAATTCTCACTTATCAGCAAGCAAATAAAAATGTCGTCTACAAACAAATACTGGCGGATTTTATGAGAAGATAACTAATACATAGATAGATAGATAGATAGATAGTAACTTTTGCCGGCAACACCAACTTATGTTAGTGTTTGCTCAAAATTGATTATTTTCAAGGTCAAATTGGTGGTCGTTCCATTTTTTTTTTTGATTATTTCCGAGTGGAAAAAAAAGAAAAAAAAAACCAATTGAACATGTAGTTAATTATATGCATGTTTCATTAATATTCAGTCACGATAAAAAAATGGATAGCATAATGGAAAATATACCCACATTTATTTAATCAATCACTGAACAACCTAACTCTACTCTACCATCTTTATTTGTGATTCATGCATACGTGACTGTGTTTCTGAAAAGGATGGCATGTGCTCAACCCCAGAAGCTGTTAAGTGAATGAGAGAATTTCCCGTTATTCCTGGACGTTCCAGTTGAAATATCACTGTAATCTTCAGTTGAGTGGTTTTTGTCACCTTTCATCATAAACTCAATGCTGAGTTCCTCTACTTCATGAACAAACCCAACTATCCATAATTCAAATTTCATCTTACAGAAACATCCTCTACTATTGATACATTCTACCTTCTCTTCACATTAATATTTATGTGCCCATATATTTGATTTCTCCACAGAAAAAGCTTACTCAAACAATCTTCGGAATGTAAACAGAAAATGAAAAATGAAAGTCCATGCCTTTCATCCACTTTTTAAGGCTATTAGAAGCAATTTTTCAAACTGTTTATACAAATTATTTAATCAGATACAGTATATACATTACCCGCAAAAAAAACCACCAAAATCAAAATTTATCATGTAAGCTATAAACGCCTCCATCATTCAATAAGATTTCAAAAATATTTAATACAATCTCTAGTATTTGGTTAAAAGAGTAAAAAGATGCAAATACAAACACATAAATTTTGAAAAGACTTAAATGATGTTATTGGCAGGTCTGAAACGTAGTTAAAGGTTTGAAATTAGCAAACAATGCACGAGAAGATCAAATTAAAGTTGATTGATTGTTAAAAAAAATTTGAAAGTTATATCAGTCCATATCAAAGAGTAAACAATGGGAAGCGAAAATCGGTCGCTGCTGTGAATACCGCTCTCGACGAATACATTTTGGACATCGATTTTGCCCCACACAATTTTTGTGATATACCGAAAAGCATTCAAGACACTAAAAGTCCATAAGAATATCAATCTGCATGTAAATCAAACTAGCATCTTAAGATTTTAAGGAAATTATCGAGCTTCAATAAAATGATTTAATGTAGTCTTCACAATTATTATTGATATCAAATTCTTTGTACGGTTAATCACAATTCTGATAAACTAAGTTCAATTACAACTGCAAAAGAACAATACATTAGTAGCAAAAATTCAAAACAATAAATGTGATTAACCGTACAAACCACTAGTCTTATTAATTTGAAATAGTCAGTCAATGACCACTATTCTTGGAATAACAGTTCCATATTTAGCAGACAACTTACTCGTGTTGTAATTTCGAGTTGAAATGGATAAATCACTTGACTAGAGGAACATATTTCACAGATAAATCCTTTTTGAGCACATAATAAGCATCGCTGAATATGTTTAATGGTAAAATTTAACAAATGGTTTATGTGGCTTTCCATGTGACCAGATAAAACAGTTAGCAAATCCTGAAAACAAATATTTCATGAAATGTCGGTTAATTTTTTGGAAGATGCCTTATTCTGAAATCGAAAATTTAATAAAAACAATTAGATACCAACTATTTATAGTACCAAAATGAAGGCTTTAACTTCGTATGTGCTGCAGTTGAAAAATTTGGTCTTTGATCTTAAATACAAAAATTAATGGCACGCAGTGAAAAGCAAGACTATAGTTTTATTCAGTATGCAGTGCTGAGTGACCATGTCAGTTACTTCTTATAATTTATATGATACAAAATTATGCTTTACTACAAAAAATCAATATCAATTCAATCAGTCGAAAACTTACTGAAAATGAATACAAGTGGATATCTCTGTACAGATAGTCTTTAGGCCACAAGCGACTTTCCAAATCTTCTGCAACTGATTTCCGGCAAGTTAAGAGGTACGTTGCTGACAATGACAATTTTTCCCGTAGAAACTAAAATTTTAAAAATCACAGAACTAAAAACCTAACGATTCAATAGCTGTAAAAGCAGGAATCGTACTTGTGAGATAATTTTGTGAAAGCGAACAAGTATTTTTTAAATATTTAGAAATTTTCGCTTTTAAAAAACTTTCTTTTACTGTTATTCAACCACAATCCAAACAGTAGTTATAAATGCAAATTTTAGATGTATTTCTGAATAAATGTTTTTGAAAGCAATAAGGTACCTTCACGGTGTTTAATGCATGCGAATGTTCATAAAGTTGTGGATTGATCCGATCTATACGGAGAACAGCCTTATCCCGTATACTTTCAATGAAGATCATATTGTTCTTGCAAACACGTCTTGAACGTTTGTCCCAGTTATGAATCAAACGTGATGGAATCACGCTTTCACCAGCGCCATCAAAGCAATCAACACAATAATATTTTTCATCGAAGGAACATTTACTAAACATTAATCAAAAAAGTTTTCGAAAAGTTAGGACAAAATAAAAATTTCTCTCAGTCATATAGGTTTTTCTTCAGCAATCTTAAAATGTATTTGAAACAGCAACCATACGATCTAATAAGACATTTAACCACTAAAAGTTCTTAAAGTTGTCCATTTTAATGGAGTGGAATTAAAAAGAGAAGATTAGATTCACTACAGTTTAAAAATTTATTAAAAAAAATCCTTATTGAAAAAAATGCAGAAAGAACAAGACCTGTATGAAGCAAATGTTGGACCAATTGATTTCCTACACGATGGACAACGAAAGCTTTGAAAGTCAAGTCCTTTTTCATGAGGAATTACGGTTAACATTTCAATTAACACTTCATCAGAAAGATCTTTATGATTACCCGAACCAACCTAAATTTCTTCTGCGTAAAGAAATTTGTTAATATACATTAATATGCGGAGAAAATCAAACAATAACATGTTGTAAACAAACTTGCAATTCTTCATCTGAAGTAAGCTTTTGTTGGGCTGAAGTGGTGGATGCTATAATTTCGCTATCAACTTCCTGTAAATATTTCACACCTCCTACCATTTTAATGTCGAAAATAAACAAGGTTGTTCAAATTCTGATTCATTATATGCGATATGAGTAATTTTAAAGAAGAACTTTTAATATAATTTCCTTTAGTTTGATTGCATATAAAAAATTAGATTACATTAAACTAAGAATAAAAAAATAAAAAATTAAATTAAATAGAAAATAAAAAATGCTCGATCAAAATTAACTCTGACTTGATTAAGACTAAATACATTTGTTAACTTCAAACTTTTGTATTTATTTAAAACAGTTTTTTTTAATAAAATACTGTCGTAAAAACAAAAAGCCCAATGTTGAGAAAACTAACAGGCGACTCAAATTCCCAATTATCACGAATTACCCATCCTTTCCCAAGAAGACTATTTCCTTCACTATAATCATCTGTTGAGTGGTAATCATCTAGCAAAGACAATGATTGTTCCTGGAATGAATTACAAGCTTAAATTTAAACAAGTTCTCAGATTTGACAACGCTATAACGAGCTTCATATCTGACCAATTCACTAGACTGAGTTTTTTCAATGTCATCTTTGGCTTTGTCCGAACGGTTGTTATCTTCATCTGTAATTTGAGGATGATAAAGATGATCACATGAAATTTTTCCAACAGATTGTTCCACTTCAACAAATGCTTCAGCATCTGAAATTATATAAATTAAGTTAAAAATTAAAAAAAAACAAATATACTTGATCAAAATTAATTTAAAGTTTATCAAGACTAAATACATTTGTTTTTATTAATTGCAAATAAATACTTTACCATTTTCGGAATTATTTTCAAGATGTTTTGAATTTTTATCCTCACAGACTGAAGTGTTGTCGATCCATTTCGCTGGTTCTTCATTCTTTTCACTAAAAAAAAAAGTGTTTTGTACTAAATCAACAATAATAACCTTTAAATCACTTCAAAAAAATACGAAATGATAATCGTCTCTTTGCTGATTTCATTGCTTTCGGTGTTATGTATTGAAGCTAAAGTTTGATGCCCATCCAGAGATTCGGCACAGTTTTTCACTTCGCACATTCTCTTACCCTTAAAATTGACAAAGTCTGCAGTTATTTGATTTTTATGAATTTTTTTGAGGTATTCGCAAAAAAAATCTAGTTATTTATTTATTATTGATCTTTACTAATACTTGATATTATGCCAAATCAATTTTGCTAATTAGTTTCCTGGATATATTTTGACTACATTTTGAAATAAAACTGAAGTCACTTTACATCACGATAATCTATACATGAGCCAGACTCATTTGTGGATGAGACTGAACTACCACCACTGCTACTTTTGGACGAATGTTGAATACACCGACGAGTGCGTCTAGTTACCCGTATCTGAAACGAAAATATGACCGATACACAAAGCACTTACAAGTAAAATGTATATCCTTTCCTATTACAGTGAAAAGACAGTTTTCAGATAGATGAAAATACAGAGTAAAATTTCGTTAGAATAGTAAAAAATCATATTTTACTGAATAAGTAATGTGATTACAAACAAATATGCCATTAATGAAAGAAATAGTATTAAATCAAAAATCTCTTATATCATATAAACAAATATCAAGCTCTAGAAAAATGGCAACCTGATTAGCTCCACAAGATAATGAACTGCTTTCCTGCACAGGATATGAAACCAAGCTACTGTTTACTTGGTCCAAAACGGAGAGAGACATACTTCCTTCATTAAGCATTGAAGGATGCGAATAAATGGAACTCAAATCATCTTCTCGTCCAACTTAATGAAAATTATCAACGATTATGAACCAAGATACCGTTTGAAAAAAATCTTTGGAAACCAAAGGCAAGAACTACTTAATTTTATTAACCATGTGCACCTCCTGCATCTGAGGAAGTTGAAACTTCTACAGAATCATAGAATTCCAGTGCAGTTTCAGCAATTTCTGCATCTTCGACTATACCAAATGAGTTTCCATGACGTTGGCGACATTTTATTAACTGTTCCACTATAAAAGACGAATATATTATTGACCCACATAAGACAAAAAATCCCCAAAAAGAAGTTAAAAATCTAGCAGCACTAATTCCAAAAAATATAAGTAAACAACAAAAAAGAAATTGTGAATATGAAAATAAGACTCACATCTTGCAGGTTTTCCTGACATTAATCCAGAAAGTATCAACGGTGTTGGAGTCCAGGTGTTGAGAAGATAACTATTAACAGGCGCTTCCAAAGTTAATCGAGTTAACCCTTTCATGTAATCTGATAATATATTCACACGTTCTGCATCTCTTAGAAAAGCCCATTTCTCATAAAATTTGCTAAAGCAAATGAATTGGATAAAAATTATTTAAATGAATAAGAATAGATAGAAGAAGCAAATGAAAAGACAAAATTACTCCATTCAGTAAGTCAGCTGAATTTTCATTTATCTACAGATGTAACGAACCTGAGAGTCGAAGTATCACGCGATAATACAACTAGATAATTATCCATGACATTTTCATTTAATAATATTCTGATCCATGCCTATGAAGCACGTGTGTAAATAAAACAAGAATTAACCGAAATTTCAGTTTCAATTACAAGTCTAATGTATATATATGGAAAAGTAAAAATATTTTTTATTTACAACGTTTCATTTCTTTGAAATATTCAATGAATAAAAACTAACTCTTGACTTTCCTACTTCGGTTTTTATTTGATTTGAAGCTGCTATTTGATCTAATACTGCTTTATGAGTATATTTACAAACAAATGGCCAGAAATTCTGCAAATACAAAATATGAATTTAATGCATTATGATGATGAAAATAGATATTATTACAATAGAATTACCGGCTCTGGATATTTTGAGCTCCGTTGTTTCTTCAAAAAAAATGCAGCCTTTAGACCATGAATGAATAATGCTTCAATTGTATTACAAAGTATTTGAGTAGATTCTCTGCAAATTTTTCCAGCATTCAAAAACTCGTCATCACTTATTTCTTTCCATAATACACAAATGTATAGCTACCATTTAATAACGCATTTTTCGTATTTAATAACGGAAACGCAAGAGAATTCAAAATTTGAATTCTGAGAAAGAATAAGTGTCACTTACTTGGAAACAGCAGTACCAGAAGGATACTCAGATGTTGCCTGTTTAAGTACATATGCCAACTCTGATGTTAGATTTGCTTTCACTTCTTTAAGCTCAGTCATATTCATTTTCTATTTTTTTTGTACAAAGGACACATAACATAGTTTTGTCCTACATTTACCCGCACATTTCCAGTTCAAATCTGCAATTTTCAACTTCACTTGTCTATCATACTTTTAGAATAATGAATCACTGCAATTCTAATCAAACCATGTGATAAATAAGGAAGAATATCAGTAGCATACTTAATCCACAACAATGAAAAATTAATCACAAGCAGACAGATAGATGATGGGAAAACCTCAACAAACAAAACCACCTGATATTTCTCATATAACCTCTACTGTATACTCTCACGGCAATGAAATACACATATGTCTGCTTCTAGTGTCAGTGTAGCATAACGAGACATAAAAACATTGTTAATTGAAATACTATTATTTGTTTGCTGCGTCATGTTTTATTATTCTGATTTTAATCATGGAATGCAGAAGGGTTACTTGTTTTCTTATGCAAAGTTTCTTGTATTTTCTGTGTCAAGTTTCATGATATTATTTATCATGATCATTTAAGTGATTTTGAAAAATTTGTGTTAGAGGCTAGCAAACTAGAAGTTGTAGCACATATCCATAAATTATTTATGCATAGTATATCGCAGTTATACTAATTGTAGTTCTAATTCTTAAAGTGGTTCAAAGGTTATTTGAACACAAACAAAATAGTCATACGACATTTATGTTAAGTTTTGTAGTTAACTCTTTCAACTTTACTGAATAATTACATGCTGATTTTGCGTATATGTAAAAGACAGCTATCGAATTTGAGACGAAAATATACATTTAAAAAAGAGTAAAAGCAATTTGAACTGCATATTGTTTTGACTAATTTCAAGTCAGTATTAATATCTATGTTCAGTGTGTTAATTTAATGCTTGCTGACAGTTTTTTTACCAAAAGATTCCTACGTTTTACCAATGAGAAAATGTGAGTCTTAGAACAGTTGCATAAACTAAGCATTACTTCAATGAGATGTAGGAATTTTTTCTAGTCGAAATATGAGCTAGATTATTTTTGTTTGATACTGAATGATTTTAATGATCTCTGTCTCTCGGTAAAAAGACGATTTTACTAAAAGTTGGATTTAAGTGTTATGCATTAGTCATCTTCGTTATGTATAGGTTGTCAAGTGTTGTTGAAAATTTACATATTCATTTGCATCATTTACGGTCAGTTAGTAATTATATTTTCTTCCGTGACTTTTTCAGTTGATGTTGAAATCATGTATGCTAAGATCTTTCAGCATTTACTGTTGTGCATAGAAGTACAGAATGTATTTCATTTTCATTATAAAGTCTGTTGTATGTAAAAGTTTAGAAAATTTACTCAATTGTGCACCCATTTCATCGTTGCAAATCATATCTTCCATCCTTCTAAGGCTCATATTTATCTGTTTGCAGAGTTTGAGCCATGAGTGTTTTTGGGAAAATATTCGGTAGCAGTAAGAAACAGCATACTGCATCAGCAACACCTCAAGAATCTATACAGAAATTGAGGGAAACGGAAGAAATGTTGGTCAAAAAGCAGGAATTTTTAGAAAAGAAAATAGATACCGTTAGTTTTTAAATTAAGAAATCGATTGTACATGAACAGCGATTGTTTTACAAAACACTAATCTTTTAACGTGCATCAGGATTGAAGTACTAAGATGAAGTATTGAGACAATTCAGTCGTATATGTTATTGATAGCTCAATAGTAAAGTAGTAAATTAGGATTTGATCAAGATTTCACAGAAAAAAATTTTTCGAAGGTCTAATGTGAATTAATTGTATTTTAGGAAATTGCATCGGCAAGAAAACATGGAACCAAAAATAAACGATTAGCTTTACACGCATTGAAACGAAAAAAGCAATTTGAGAAACAACTGCAGCACATTGATGGGGTTCTTTCAACTATTGAGTTTCAACGAGAAGCATTAGAAAATGCATCAACTAATGCTGAAGTGCTGCAAGTAATGGGCTCTGCAGCAAAAGCCCTCAAAACGGCTCATAATGATATGGATGTAGATCAAGTAATTATTTATATGATTAATATTTTAGTAATTCTGGTAATCCCGTTTGTTTATTAAAAAGGAAAAATTCCAAAGTACTCAAAAATTCTTCGTTTCTTGAAAGGCGTATTAGGACAATTTATTTAACGTCATCAATATTATGCATTGAGTACCGGTATAAAAGGTAGCACTTTAGTATTAAATATAGCATTACGAAAGGACTAAAGAAATATATATGCGTACTGCAATTTCTTTTCTAGGTGCATGATTTGATGGAAGACATAGCGGAACAGCAAGAAGTTGCCAATGAAATAGCTGAAGCAATTAGTAATCCAATTGGTTTTGGACATGATGTTGATGAAGATGAATTGCTTAAGGAATTGGAAGAACTTGAACAGGTTTTGTGCTAGTGTCCCTGTTGCACATATCTTTTAGCTTACTTCTTTGCATATAATTTTTTGTAAACAGAGAAACGTTTCAAACTCTTAATTACTAGATCGATTTATAGGAAGAGCTTGATAAGCAGCTTTTGGATGTTGGGACTACACCATCATCTATATCTAATTTACCTGAAGCACCTACAGCTGAACTTCCACATTCTGCAAAGAAAGGTCTGGTCAAAAAGCATCAAGAAGATGATGACTTGGCTGAATTGGAAGCTTGGGCGAACGCTTAGTTAGCTGATGTTTAATTGTGCACTTATCTTTTTAATTATAAACCACACAGTGTCATCGTCGTGAGTCGACATCTTATTTCACAATTAATTGTAAAGTTTGTTCAGCGTTTATTATAATTTGTAATGAGTAGTTTCACCGTCGTGGAAACTAAATTACTAAGCCTCTGTATTTTATGTCGTCACTTTTTTATCCCTAATTTTTGCATTTCGTTTAGGAAACTTCCATGCTATAGTTCGTGGAAATAATAAATTTTAGTGTCTTTTCATCAGGGTTATTCAAAACACGGGATTGATTGTCGTCATAGTATAGGAAAAGACATGAGAAAACCGATAAAAAATCATAATTATTCTTCTTGTCCTCCATTTTCAATCAATGATCATATGATAAAACGTGTGCTTCTGTGCGTTTTATTTTAAATAAAAGAATAATTGCTTTTTCATGATTTTGTTTTTTTGATAAAATTGCTATTGTTTGATCTGTCACCTTATGTGAGGGGTAGAAATGTAGTTATTTTCTTCGTCATTGTAAATTATTTTCTAAGTAGATTGGTCCAATTTTTTAAGATAAGTCTAATTAAGGGGATTGAAAACGCATCGTTGATATATTAAAAATTGTATTTTAAATGCACTTTCTCACGTCGCAGTAATGTATACAAGCGGATATTTTGATGCACTGAAGTCTTGTCTTACATATTTATTTAGTAGCAAGAGCAGAAATCGATATGCCACTTTAAATTGTGGAAACTTAACTTCCCGAAGAATCACTTAAGCTCTTGAATATATGCAAAAAAAAAGATGTGTTTAAGAAATCAGCGATGCTAGGAACGTTACATAGAAGGAACAGATGAGGAATAAGGAGGTAGCCATTGTAATTTACTTCCAGTAGAGGAAGTGGGTGCCATGGAGAAAAATTGTGCACTCTAATCCTAAGTGCTAAAGGATCGCTCAAAATTCAGTAAACTGTTCAGGATTTCTGGATTCATAGTTTATGAAATGGTTTTTGAGTAGTTATAGGACTGCAACATACTGTCAATGATGTAAATGTGGAATGTGTGCTGGAATTCTGGAATTACTCAGAAATATTTGAGATTGGTTATCTTAATTTGGTGCTTGAAAGATAACGTAAAAGGAAATGAGTTCGAGATTCATTATTTTTGTCTTCATTAAAAAGTGAAGACATAAAATACAGCAATTTTTTCTTCATTATTTTATCACTTTTTAGTTTTTTCTTCACTATACCTGCGAAATATCATTTGTTTTCAAATAAGAGGTAATTTCAAAAATTTCACCTTATCTCTCCAAATTTTTAAGAATCTAATTCATGCAGATCATGATTTTTATTACGATAATTGTGTTAGGAGATTACATGATAATTAATCCTTCACATATGATAGCTTTAAATAATTGTCTTCTTATTTATTCCTCATATACATTAAAAGTTGGTTTGTCATATTTGCCTTTATACCATGGTTAAACTTTCTTCAACTTTCATTTAAAGAAACTCACAATACAATAACACTGAAATGTTTAAAACAAGCTATTTCAGTACGGATAATTTGTTAACTTGAGAGCATATTTTTTATGAATTCAATGAACATATTTCTCTTGCATTAACCAGAAGATATCTGTAGTCTTAATCAGAGTAAAGCTCTGAATCCCTTTTTTCTGATGCTAATTTCTATCCACTTTTAGAGTGTTAATCTTAAATTTATTCCAATTTTTTGATATTTGGAAAGTGGCAAATATTAAAATTAACATTGATAAAGCAAATAATATTAGTAAAAACAACCAATTTAACGGCATAATTTGACACATCCACCAGTGTTAACTGAGAGGAAAGCTCACAATTTACATTGCAAAATTAAATAACGATTCATATGTCATTTCAGAGAATCACAATTTTTTCACTTTGAAGAAATTGTGATTTTCTGAAACATATTCAAAATGTTGTTCACTTTTTTCCAACTAGAAAAAGCAGAAATGCTTCATTCTTCTTATATCCAAAGAATTGAAAGTGGTAGTTTTCTGATCATTTTTATAAATTCTAATTAAAAAACAAGTCTTCAGTGAATTTGGTTTGCTGCATTTTTAATAAAATATATTTTATTTTAAAAAAACTTGTTGATAATTGTAAAAACTACTGATATCGAACTTCTAACAGAGCTTCAAAATATTCATATTAGTTATCAATATCGAATTTGATTGCCTTTTCTAAACTTTCACTATGAAGTTAAGATAAATTGACTACATTTAAAATATAATTTATATTCATTTACACAGCTCTGTTATTTTGGCAAAGATTTTTTCAAGTTGTTAGATACTATTTATTGTCTGAATGTGTTTTATTTATGTTTTGATATTATATTAAATAAATAAGTATTAATATCTACGCTGACCAAAAACTTATTTTCAGATGATTTTTTTGAAAGTAATAATCAAGTCAGATAAATATTACATAGCTTAAAGAATAGTAAAATGAAAATAACTTAAAATCGTATTATAAAGTTAAAAATTAAAATTAGTCAAATTTGATTACATGACTCAACAAAATTTTCCACAGTTATCACTGCAGAGACAATCATTATTTCCTGAAGTACTGTATCATCCGTTCTTGCTACTAATTACCAATTTATGCAAATCGCAATGACAACAATATGGGATTAATTGAGCTGATTGGATTAAGCTGTCATCATTCTTACGAATTCTTCATAATTGATCTGCAAAATTTTAAATATAGTGTAATTTATTAAACAACATTAACAATAGTGAATATAAGTATTCAAGAAAACTGATTACCATAAATGAAAAATTTTTAAATCTTTAAAAATCATGCAAGATAATTATGTACTTTATAAATACATACTTATCTTGCATGATTTTTTGAAGATTTCAGACCAGTGTATTTTAGCAACATGCATGAAATGAAAGGTATCAATTTTTTCAACCTGTCCATCACCATCAATATCAACTTCAGCCATAATCTCGTCAACTTCTTGATCGCTAAATTGTTCACCCATATGTGTCATAAAATATCGAAATTCTTCTGCTGTAATATAGCCATTACCGTCTCGATCAAACACTCGAAAAGCTTCCCGTATCATTTCACTGTCATTTTCCTTTACAATAAAAATAATTATCAAAAACAAAACACTAATAAATTTCATACTTTTTCAGTGCTTTATTAAAAAATAACCATAAGCTAGTATACTTTTCAAAAGTTTTTTTCAATTTTATGGTTTTAAATACTCACAGCTATCACTTTGTAATGAATAAGTAACAATGAGCAAGTAATGCTTTTTAATCACTATTGTGAGTGATAACATTGAAAGTTTCATTTTGCAGAAGTATTTGAAAATAATGCAAAAAAAAAAAAAAAAGCAGCATTATTTTAAAATGTACTTAGATTAAAGTTATATAATAATATAAGCTTAAAATTCAGCGAAATAAATCAATTGAAATTAATTATTAAAATAGACAAAACATTGTAAAATAATGCTTTTTGCTATAATTTTATGGAGCAAAAATAATTTCAGGATTTTTTTTTTTGGTATCATTTGAAACAAACTTTATTCATTCGTTTCATTAATTGGCAGAATTCTGGGAAATCAATGGTACCACTACCATCAATGTCTACTTCATTTACTATGTCAAGTAATTCTTGTTCCGTAGGATTTTGTCCAAGGGATCGCATTGCAACTCCCAATTCTTTCGATGAAATTGACCCATTTCCATCCTTTAAATAATTCAAACTTATAAACTAACTGATAATATACTTTTTAAATTTTATCGATGATATTCAGACTATAATTATGCTTTCTACAGCAATAAAACAAAAAAAGAATCATAAAAGCCTGACAGTTTTTAAAAACTATTCGTATACTTCATAATACTGTAACTTTCTGCTAGTTTATTATGTTAAATAATAATAATACAGTTTTCGTTTTTCATTTTTGTCTTTGCTCTTGCTAATCATATGATAAAATTAAATTAGCATTTAACTGCAAAAGTTAAGAATTTAATTCAAAGAATGTTATGCAATTTTCAGTTCATATTATTAATTATTTCATCTAATTACAAATTATAAATTTTTGAATAGATTGTATTTTTTTTTAAATTAAAAAAAGATTACTTTATCAAAAAGATGGAATGCTTCTTTATATTCGATCATTTCTTCTTCATTGATACCTCCGAATTCGTCATTTGCAGTTTGTTGCTTCCAACGATCAAATAGCGATGATTTACGCTGATTAGCCATAATCTCGTGAATTTATACCAAAACTTAACAAATGAATATCACTAGGCTATTAGAGTGAGTGAATATGTTTAGTTAGACTAAAAAATATTAGCAATCTTGTGAAAATGACTAAAAAAATCAACATTTTTTCAGTTTTTGTATGCTTTTTGAATAAAGAATTGCAACTAATAGTTTGTTTTAAAAGATATAGTAATTTGAGTAAGTAATCCTTCAAAAAATTTTTTACTAAATAACTGCCTTATTTCAGAATTTGATCTTAGAGGATAAAAATTTTGCTACGGTTTTAATATTTAATATTTCTGGATAAGTATAGATTATAAAAGGATTATATTGATCTCAAATATATATTCAGTATTGCAGAAAGAATGCATATAGAAATAAAAAAATTTTTTGTTTTATTACAGATATTAATTGAAGTCTTATTTTACTGCGGTATTGTTATTTTTAAATGTGATTTAAAAATACGGTTTGTTAAAAAAAATTGACAACTATTCTTTTTACTATACTTTTCATTAATATAATACATACTGTAATTCTGAATCACTTTTAAAAATAACAACTTTTGTCATAATAGCTAAATTCAAAAATTTGTCAAAACAATTGCAAATAGTTTTATTAAGTAAATTTTTTATCCCTTATCTATTTTCTTAAAAATAATAAAAAAGCTTTTTTAAATAAAAAAAACATCTATTACTGTTTGTATTCACTATTTTGTCATTTGTAGCAATAAATGAAGATTTAGCTATTTTAAAATTGGTTAATTTTATTCAACTTTTGCATACAATAATTTTTAAATACACTATGCATTAAAATAAAAAATGTATTCTTTATGAAGAATCATTTCACAAAAATGTTTGCTTGAAATCAAATCATTAATTAAGTCTGTTTTTTAAAATTCTTTTTTTAAATTTTTAATCTGTTATAACAAATTTCAATCTTTTTTGCCGCCTGCTTCTTACGTAAATGTCACGTGAATCAATTGTTCCAAAATACAAATGTTAATGAATGCTATAAAATAGATAAATTTGTTGGTCAAGTAGACAGATGGACGCGCCATTGACAATTGTTATTATACTTCTGTTTGACGCAATTTTCAGTTTTAAACTTTTATCTTTATTATGCCACTTGAAATATTGTATACTTTCGAATCATTCATTTACACTTTTCATTATTTTTACGTTGCAAATAAACATACTTTATTATATATCGTTTTTTTTTCTTCTTAACTGATTAACTTTTGATAAAAATTTATAGAAACGTTTATTAAAAATCTTCTTAATTACAACAATTACAGCAATGTTAAACTTAATATTTTTCTTTATTCCAAATTTTAATAACTTATGATAATAAGAAAAGAGTATGCATGTCTTTATAACACATTTATATATTCACAGCTCAGTTAGCTGATAATTTTATAATAATTAATTTTATGCCAAGTTAAATAATGCTAAAAAATAGATACATTGAAAAGGCTTGTTAGCAATAAAAATTCAAAATGGAAAGTTTAAATTTGCGTCATTCATTGCATTTTAAAGCAATTTATTTCATTTTTTCTGGATTCATGAATAGTTGATTATGTATAGCATGCAATAGTTTCAATTTTTGATCTAATCTAATCAGTCAAATATTTGACTTTAAAAATTATTTCACCTTTGAAGATTTTTGCTAATGAGAAAAAAAAAGTCATTTCTATGTGCAAATCAAAATTAAGCTGGCAATTATTATCTATAATTAAAGTAATAATTATAATTTACTAGTATGTAGTCCAGTTTTTGCATATAATTTACCATTACTACTTTAAATGAAATAATGATATTTAATAAAAGGTACAGCACTCTCTTATAAATTATAAAATTGCCAGTAATGATATGTTTTTGATTTGAAAACTTGATATAGCTTTTTGCAAAAATGAAAATGAATGAAATTAATTGAGCCATATTCTCTTATAATATTATTTTAATATTCGAAACTTGACTAAAACAAAACAAAAATGATATCGAAATTTTGTACAATAATAACTTCAAAACAAGAAAAAATAAATAAATCTTCTACAAGCTTAATTAATAAGTGCCATTATTTTTCTTTGCTTTGCTATTCAATTAACATAATTCTATGAATAAGTAAAATTAATCATATGTTTAGATCATATGGAATCGGTCATTTTATATATCATCATCTTTTCAGTTTTTTTATCTTTTTTTTTTTCGTTTTAATGTTTTTGGAATGAAATTAATGCTATTTTCTTGCATGCTTTCCTCATTTAAATCTGATGATTTATCTTTAATACTAAAAAATCATAAAATTGATAACGTATACTATCAGGCAACTGTTTTTTCTAAAATTTTTTGTTAAACATTTATATTTTACTCAATCAGCAAAACTTGTCCAAATCCTTATTTTGTCATCAAGTTGATTCATTAGCTCATATTTTTAGTATTTTGTTAGAAAATATTGTCAAATTATGGTTTTTATTCGTTTTTGCGTAAATAAAGTCGTTAACAACGTTGAAAAACTGAAACTTAGCATAGTTATTTTTAATACTTCAAAAAAATTTGGTAAAAACTTAACAAATTTTGTTTGCGTCTACAAAAAAAAGAAGAAAAACTTTTTTGAAAAAGAAAATTATTGCAAAAAAGGTATAACCGATGTAAAAACATTTAGAATTAACTCTAATATGGATATGATTGGAAATATCTGCATGGAATAGTTCTGATAGAATGATAACCATAAATGGATAAAAAATTTTCAAAATGATCTGATGATAAAAAATGGTATATTCCTTAACTAAGTAAAGCTGAATGATAGTAACAGACAGAAGTTTGTTGAGATAAAGCTACAATGAGCAATAATTTTCATGCTATAAATCAATTTGTCAAATATTTAATCGTGTTAAAAATTAGCAATAATTTTAATTTAATATTTTTCATTAAAGGATATTTTTTTATTTTCAAAGATGTCCATAATGCATAATTAACTTTTGATAATAATCCAAATGTTTAATAATTTAATTAAATTTTTTTGCTGCTCATTGATATATTATCGATATTTTAAAAGTTTAACTAATAACATTAAATTAAATTCAATGATAATGTTGCAATCTGTTTTACTAATTTGCTCTTTAGTGTCATATTTACAAGCAAAACTGAATATTTTAAAAACTAAAAGAATTAGCAAAAATTAAACATAACATCTCAATTTTGCTCTATGTTAAGCTAATAATTAAGTTAAAGTAAAAATTTTAAAACTGTAACTGTAATTTTTCTATTTAAAAAAAATGCTAACAGTACAGTAGTAAGGCAAAAACCAGAAATAAATAAGCAAAATTAAAACTATGAAATGCAAAAAAAAAAAGTTCTGGCATGATGGCATTTAATATGTGCTTGAAAATATCCATTAGACAAAAAAAATTAAGTGAACTAAATAATGGCTCAATTCATCCCTAAAAGTCATGTCATGAGCGCTTAATGCTAAAAGTTTATATAATTAAAATTAAAATAATTCTTAAAAAATATGAGTTTTTACATATATAAAAAAATTCATCAGAAAAAAGGAACAGAAAAATATGTTAATTAATTAACACACTAATTTTTTACTACTCACTGCTATACATTTAGGCAAATATCTCATGTGAAAAAAATTAATTTTCCTTTAATAAAAATAGTGCAAAAATAAAAAGCAAAAACTTATAAAAGCAGAAAGAGCAAAAAATTTGATTTGATTGTAAGTATTACTATTAAAATTACTATTGTAATTTATATAAAAAAATTAAACATTTTTCAAAATTTGCTACTTTTATATAAATTGTAGCAGTACAATTTAAATTTTTTACCAAAATTTTGCGAATATTTTTTAATAAAAATAAAAATTAATTAGTCAAGCATACTACATTTTTATTGATTATTAAACAGTGCATTGAGTGAAAAAGAGAAAAAAAATGGTGATAACAAAAATGATAAAAATTTTTGTACATAATTTTTATTCAAATATAAATACTTTTTATTACTGTAATAAATGAAAAGGTTGCAAGGAAAAGAGCAATTTTTGGAATGATGTAAAAAGATTTGTTCGTTGCTTGAAGTAGTCTCCAAAAAAGAAGATATCCCCTCCTATACCGGAAGGGTTCTCAAAAAATTTTTTTAAACAAATCGTCGACAAAGGTGTAAGTAAATTACATGCAATTATTTTTTTTTACTTTTAGATTTGAACATTTTCAAAAAAAAATTCTTAGATTTTTAATCAACAATGAATGTTTTGTTCTTTTTACAGATTTGCAAATAATAAACTTTTATCCTACAAAATTTGAATAATTTATGCTTGACTAAATGACATCTTAATTAATTTAATTCAATTTTTTTTGTACTGCAGTCTTCACATCACATATTACTGTTTTTGATTCAATTGTATATAAATAATTACAGTGCTTAAAGCCAGAACTAAACATTTTCAAGTTTTATAATAAGCAATTTTTTGGAATTGAAAAGATTAATCCATCACTATTGTAGCTGAATTTTGATTAATTAATTAATTAGTTAATTAATTAATCGTTATATATTTATGAGTATTCATTATTTTAATGGTTTTAAGTTGGAAATTAATAAATAATGACTGAATGCTTTTCAAACAAAATTTTGCCAAATCTGATACAATGTAAACGCTCTTTGGAATGGTGTTAGATAGTACTGATTACTTCAGAACAAATGATATTAATATTTTTAAGAACAATTATTTGAGTCTGAGCTTAGAAATATAAGTGTAATCAGTATCTGATCTTATACAATTGATATAGATGGACAAATTCAATTTGTGAAACAGTAATTACTAGAAAAGCTAAGTGATATGGATTAATTGAGTGATTAATTTGCAAGATGTTAAAATTTTATTTCTATAAGCTTTTCTTATTTCCAAAGTAGGCATACTAAAAAATGTAGAAAAAAAAGTATAGCTGATTTTTACACATGAATAATTTAAAAAAAAAAATGAACAAATAAAAGCTAAAATCTATCGATTATTAACTCAAATTTGCAACAATAATCTGATGATGATAAGCAAGAAAAATCATCAACAATCAATGAATATTATTTATTACTGCCAAAAATAGCATATGATGTTATGCATGGATGTAATAAGATGTCAGAAAAAATGAAATTTGAAAAACAGACTAAAATTGCTACTACACAAATGACTGCTTCAAATTTGACGTTGCGATGCATTATTGTTGTTAGTGAAATTGACTTTATAGCATCAAAAAAAAAAAAAAAAAA